TTTCAAAAACATGTAAAACTTTTACTATGTATAAAAGTTAAGCTAAATGGTCTGAAACAGCAAGATGGAAAAGTATTTTAATTCTGAACTACATTAGTATAATGTTATGATTTCATCTGATGTCAAAAATTAATCATTCATAATTTGATTGGTTTAGGTCTGTACTGTAGTGGAAATATCCTTATCTTGATTGATTTAGGTCTGTACTGTAGTGGATGGGTCAGCACAGGGCCAGTAGGAGTCATCCTCAATACCATGACAGGGGGATTTGAAACAGGAAAGATAGTTCTCAAAGATCTGGAAGACGGTATCATCACTTCTGAGGGAAAACGGGGGAATGAAATGATCAAGGAAATCCTAGAATCTAAAGGTTGCTGTTAAGCATATGTTTTATAAACAAAAAATGAAAATATTTAAGATCTTTAAGAAGGTCAAGGTATGTGGTAAATATATTAAAGGACTGATATGTACAAGAATTTGATTTCTGAACAAACTTGTTATAATGCTGTGCAGGTAAGCAGATGGTGACATTTTCTGACTGGGACAAGATTGATGAGGAAGAGATCAAGAGAGGAAGTGTCTTTGGAAAACCAAGGGAGAAGATTGCAGATATCTCAGAAATGCTTAGAGTAGCCAAGTCCTAAATCAAGAAAGCCAACCACTGTCTTATACTGGGGGTTGTTATCTATTAAGGACCCGCATTAAGATGCAGGTTCCCTAAATAAATCACCATGGTCTGTCCCAAGACCTTATATCAACTACTAAAAAATGGATAGGGAATGCTTTGGAAAAGACATTTATAGATTTTAGAATCATATGGTCAAAGGTCAAAGACGAGGATTGTTTAAATGACCACTATGCTGAACTTAAGATTTTTTACTACATACCATAAAGTCAAGTGTATATCATGCACCAGTGTAAAGTATGCACCTCCTACATTTGAACTGTTTTCTATCAAAAAAGTAGCTGTTATACATGCATGACATAATGGTACATGTAGATAAAGGTTTCTTTGATAAAGGTCAAGGCCAAAGGGTCAAGACTATTGATATGGCCTTAAGTTTTTTAAAGGATCCACTGCATTGAAATCAGTACTATATTTGGTCAGATTTTCACCAATCAATGAACAAAGTTAAGGGGACAAATATTTAGATTCCGGGCTAGTTCACTCAAAGTTCAAGGTCATTATTTTCACATGAACATTCAATTATATACAATGTAGTATAAAATTGAGTAAATTTATTGTGCAGTATAAAATTGAGTAAATTTATTGTGCAGATTTCGTATTCACTTCACAATTAAAAGAAAGCCCTGTATATTCTGTGGCCAATTACTCAAAGATCAAGATTATCAATACATGTATAAGCATACTATGGGGTCCTGTATGATTTCTTGTCTTTCTTTGATGTTGTAATTACTTAAGTGTGAGAAGAAAATACAAGGTAGTTGGTGCAGAAGAAGTGCTGAAAATAGAATGTAAAGATCTGACCAAAAAATTCAAATTATGTACATATGCTAAGTGCAAATTGTCTAAAAAGTAAAATAAATTACAAATGTTTACATTTGTAGATTTTTTTTTTTTGCATGTAGAATGCCTTATATATGCCTCTACTTGTTGATGTTTATGGTGCTTTAACATTCAATGTTTGGAATACATGTATTTTTTGCGCTTTTAAAAATTTTCCGATAAAAACTTTCTATGGCCAAAAATACCATATAGAGAAAACAAATGAAAAAGGTGAAAATAATGAACAGTGATCTATTTCAAAAAAACCTATAAACAATACAAAATAATCTGTGAACAGGGCATAAATCTTGGACCCTTGGAAATTCTAGAGGTGGGATCTGGTGTCTAGGAGGAGTACCTTCTGTGAGCCCTTTGAATTGATCAGGAAGACGGAATATAAAGTTTACTATAAAAACAAAGGCCTAACAATTTGTATGAAATATGTTGGTCAAAATACACCCAGTGGTAGATTTATACGTTGTACATGTATTTTCTAAAAAGGTCGTTATAATGACCATAGAATTTATGAAATGCTAGCTTTAAATGTCGTTATTGAAATCCCTGTAACATCAACTTATCTGTCAATAGCTTGACTTGGTTTAAAAATTGATCGTACTCGGAGCATGCTCTTTAGTATTGAATAAGTTTGGAGACATAAACACCATATGCAGGTGATATTGGAATATAACTACATGTATACATCTCGGAGAGATGTTTTTCCAAAGCAAAGAGAAAATTGTGGGACCCAGCACAGGCACTTGGGGTATGGACCCCCCACCCCTTTTCCATTTTTTTTAAATCTGGGGTCGAGTCACCCTTTCCCTATTTTTGTATTCTAATATGCATTTTGTATTCTAATATGTTTTGACTGATTCATAAAAAAGAGAGTATCAGTCAAAAACGATATATTTAAAAACAGCTTATAGAGACAAAAGGGTTACATTATCGATAACATATAGTGCATATTAGAACACAAAAATAGGGAAAAGGTTACTCGACCCCAGATATAAAAAAAAATATGGAAAAGGGGGTGGGGGGTCCATACCCCAAGTGCCTGTGGCCCCCAGTATATCAATGTAGGCTAGTAAAACTTGTAAAGTTGGGTGCTAAATGTTATTTGCAACCTTGTTGAAAGATTCCTTAAAATAATTATAATTTTAACGACTGTAAAAAACTTAATAAATTATGAATAATCCGGTCTCTAACGAACAAGGGGACGAACCATTTGATTCTGGAAAGTGGAGGGGGGGATGCCAAATTTTTCCGAGTCAGATTATTTAATGGCATGTAGGTGAAGGACAGATTATTTATTTCCAAGATGAACGAGGACAGATTATTTCTTCAATGAAAAAAGTCTGACAAGCAAAATTAAAAAAAAAAGAGAGGAAAATTTCACGTTCTAAACTTTTAGTTTCCAGGGGAGGAGCACCAATCAAGGACAGATTATTTATTTTCTTGCCAGTCTAGGACAGATTATTTATTTCCAAAATTTTCGAGGACAGATTATTTATTTTCTAAAGGAAACATTGTCAAAATGAAGAGAAAAAAAAATCTTTTATTATAAATTACCGGGGAATCTAGGGATATCCGCTCCCCAGCCAAGAAGGATCGCATGTAACTATTTTTATTATTTAATTTAAAAAGTCTCAAAATGAAGCTTGAAATTGAAATCTTTCCATGCAACAATTCTGATTTTATGCATATCAATATGATTCAAGGTTCTTTGAAGTCTTAGAAACGGTCTTAGTAAAGGTGACATTTATACCCCATAAAAGAAAAATCATTTCAGAGAAATCGAATTTAAACCACAGGCACTTGGGGTATGGACACCCCCCCCCCTTTTACATTTTTTTCTTTTTAAATCTGGGGTCGAGTCACCTTTTTCCTATTTTTGTATTCTAATATGCACTATATGTTATCAATAATGTAACTCTTTTGTTTCTATAAGCTGTTTTTAAATATATCGTTTTCGACTGATACATAAAAAGAGAGAAGGCTTGCAACTCTTTTCTCGTCGTCTGCCTCACCTCGCTTAAACTTCGCCTGATTATTTATCTAAAGCATAAGAACACATGAAATATGCATACGTTAATAGATTTGTTACACTTTCTTCTTCCTTTTCATATTTCCATTTAATTTTTATGTGCCCCCGATTTGTAAATATTTCAATTAAATCACCCGCATCAGGGTCAACGATATATTTAAAAACAGCTTATAGAATAGAATAGAATAGAATAGGACTTATTACCAAATCAGGGCCCAATGGGCATAAACATATAACATGTATAATTACAGATAAGATAACAGACAGAATACAACATATAGAAACAAAAGAGTTACATTATTGATAACATATAGTGCATATTAGAATACAAAAATAGGAAAAAGGTGACTCGACCCCAGATTTAAAAAGAAAAAAAAAATGGAAAAGGGGGGGGGTGTCCATACCCCAAGTGCCTGTGATTTAAACAAGCATTAGATATCAATGTAAATTAGCATGATATGAAATTAGATGTGATATGTGATGTCTAGTAATGATAGCACAGGTATATAAGCACAAAAAAAGATGCAATTTTCCCCGAATCCCCGGATACCTATATCTTTTTATCCTAAAATATATTTGTTGATTAATTCGCGTTTCCTGAAAATATATCTGCCAGTGATAATTTTCCCTATATATATAATTATAATGATAAACTTTGAAGAAATACCATGGGTAAATTCATGTTACTCTGTGAAATCAGAGACATTTTTGTGAGCATTTCAAATACTTAAAAGCTGATTTTCAGAACCTGGAAAAGAATTTTAAGCATCCGACAGGGACGTTCATTTTTACACGTAACAAAATTCCCCTAATCTATTATTGGAAAGTACAGATCTATCCGAGTTAACGAAAACATTTTTTACTCTGTATAAATATATTTATGTATTATTCCATAAATACTCAGAGTCTCTGATAAAATGCAATCCGGATTTGTGGAACACGAGATTCATTCGTTATTTTATCTCGGTTTGGAGTTATCCGTTGCGCAGTTTATGAACTTCTGCTCACTGCTCGTTTTGGCTAAAAATATGTGGTGTTTTGAATGAGTCATTTAAACACCAGCACAGGTAGCTCAATGAAATCAAGAGAGGTATACTATCTTGAAGGATTATTTGTTTTAATTTTTTTTTTTTTGTTTATTTTCCTTTATTTTGACCAAATCGCTGGAAAAATATGCAGCTAAGTAAAAAAAAAAAACCCAGCAATTATAATTTTCAAATGCCATTGGTAATTGGGGAATGTAGATATGTGTGTATATATTTTTTGGTGAAACCTGTCCGTTGCTATTGCAACCTTTCGATAAACAGTTTGATCCGCACCTTGTCTGCCCAGCCCTTTTGTTTACAGTATAACACATCGACCAATCAAAAATGTCGGCTCATATGGGAATTTGATGCACGGAAAAACGGAGTTCGATGCCGAAGTACTCTGGTTTACTTTCAATGTTTATGTTCGTTTTACCCAATTCTTACTTTGCATAATATATATATTTTGATACACGAAGAAATTCTATGTATTGGATGCACCATTGATGTCTGATTAACGGAAAAGTCTTTCATAATGCGAATGGAGAAAGTGCAAAAGTCGTAAGTACCAAGTAAAGATGATAGTCCTTTAAATTTAGTTACAGTGCAACTGTAACCGCTGCTTCATTTCCTTTTAAAAACTTGGAATTGTTTGCAGATTAAAAAGGGTAATGAATCATAAACGTTTCATAACGGTATGAACATTCGGATTTGTTATATATATGTACATGTGACTTGTCCTGAATAGTGTCATACCCAAACCGATTATGGATGCTCACTGTTCCTTTATGTTTGATCTTTCTTCTTTCAAATGTATAATGCTTTTGCTAAGTACTAGGGCACTATAGACAATAGTTGATTGATTTCTTTTTACTACAATTAATCACGATAATAGATGCAATTTCACGTTTTGCCCGAAGAATGCATCTATATATTCAGCAAAATTACTGCAAGCATGTGAAATAACCAGCATAACACTTTGAAATCATTGTGTAAAGAGCCATGTCATTTGCTGGAAAGGGAATTTACATTCATAAAATATTTTAGGGCTGAAGTCGTAATAAGAATATGAAAAGCATGTTCTGCACATACTACAGTGTATTATGACAGTGCACTCACCTTATTGCCTTGCAGTATGTGAACTAGCTATTTCAAGATAGCTGCTAGTATACATGCACTATATAGAGTTCAAAAGGTGATCACAATCATAAATATTCATTTGTTTATTGTTTCTAAAGAATGTTTATAAATCTGAGCATAAATATTCAGCATTTTTGTCTGTTAATTTATACAGTGGACAACACATTTAGTCCATGTGACGTTGTTTCAGGTTTTTCAGTAAATGCACTTGCCGAGCTCATATGAACAAATTGTTTAAAATGAAATGAATTATTAATTCGAAAAGAAAAATGTTGTTAATAGTTCTGACCTAAACAAGTTGTAACTACTCTGAGTGTTTTTTTTTTTGTTGGGGGGGAGGGGGTAAAAAAAATCAACCGGGGAAATTTACAGATCTTTGTTTTTGATTGTATTGACTAATTCAGGCCTAAGAAAAAAATATGTTTGTTTACATTTACCCAACTGACCCTAATTTATGTGCAGACTCAAATATATTTTTTTTCAATGTGAAATCTGGACTATGGCGTGTCTGTATATTTTCCTTCAACTGTAATGGTTTATGGGTAGTGAGGTCACTTAGTAGCTGTTTTTGGAGCTGTTGGGTAGATTTGAAAAAAAAAAAAGATGTTATGGCAAGAAGAGGTCAAACTATAAATTAAAAAATAAAAACAAAATCCTACCCGCCAACCCTTTTTTTAATGGGCATGTAATAGTAAACATATTTTTCTCTTCTAAAGGCCTAACACAGTTTTCACTTTTTACCAGATCTAAAAAGAAGAAAACTAAGACATACCACTACAATAGAACAGTGCATTCAGTTTCCACTGATTTTCTTGAAGATGATTATTTCAGAAAGTAAGTACTGATTTAATAATGGATGTTTAATTTCATTGGAAGACAGCTTAAGGGATTTACTATTGATTGCATACATGTAAGAATTATTTTCTTTGCATGCTCTTTACTCTCTGGACTGTTCAACAGAGATGAGGTACAAATAGTATTTAGTTGAATGCATCAGCATATTCAGTGAGTTAATCATAAATTATTACCAGGTTGTATTTATTATCTGCACAAAAAGAACAGTATATAAAATTGTTCTGTATATTGTAAACTTTGTTCTATTTGCATTGAGTTTTTGGAATAACTTGTTCAGGCTGTATTTTCTTTTGATACTCAATCATTACGTAGCATAAATGTCAAATTCATATAAGCTCTAAATGGTTTAGGTTATGATGTATTGGCATCACCTTTTATTCACCTTTTGTTTGAACATATGAAATGGTAGTTGTGAAGTTGATTATAATTATAAAGTTTATCCATTGTGTTAGATATATCAAATTGTGAATCTTTTTATCTAGTGTCTAAAGTCCATTAACTATTTCTTCATATATTGTTGAACCAAATCATCTCCTTTGATGAAGGCTCGATGAGTTGTGGTTCTTAGTTTAAACTCTTACACAAACATCATTGTTATTTAATTGAGAATTTATGTACCTGACAATATTATGTTTTTCAGATTTTTGGTTTGTTGTGAGTGTTCATGTTCAATTGACTTGAGTTTGAAATTTTAATGCATGTCAACAGTTGCATGGCTGTTCCAAAAGATATATTTTTTTCAAGTCTATACATTAACAAACAACCTTATTAATGTACACAGTTTTGTTAACAGACTTTCTTACACTTAAAATTCAAAGAGTGAAGTGCTACAACCTACAGAAGGATGTAGGGATGTCATACTATTGTAGAGAAATGTTTATACACTTATTATATTAGTATACCAACCCGGGCTGGTCAACGTGAAATGAGTCCAAATCTTGAATTTTTATTAAAATCTAAAAATCTCAACTGTTTTTATGCATATATATATATATATGAATCTGATTTTTTATTAAAAAAAAAAAAAATACCAAGCATTTAGAAAACTTGAAGCTAATCTTTTAAATTTTTTTCCTTCAAGAGTGATAAAGTATTTAGGATTAGTATTTTTAAAAAATATACTGTCCCTGGCCCATTTCTTTGGATTATGTCAATAATTAACAGTAATGATAAGATTAATCTGTAGAATGGGGTATTAGTTGATAATTTGATATTTTCAAAACATATTGTTATTATTTCTAACACCTTATGTCTGTGCATTTGTTTTCTCACAGTCACATATGAATAATCAGTGATGTTGGAATTTCAACACATTGTTTCTGACTTTGTCTGAAACTCAGAAAACCCAACATTTGATTTTAATTTTTTATGACCTAAACTACTCTAAACTTCCTTTCATTTAAGAATGTTTGCTTTTGTTATTAATCTTATAGACAATTAAAAAAATGCATCGTGAATTCATTATGGAATATTTGTATATGTATGACATCATCAACAGCTTATGACTTTTCTGCCATGAAATATGAAGTGATGTGCTTACATGTAGATAACATGGATAAAACTAATTGCTTCTGAAGAGAAAAACCTTTTAGAATGTGTGATAAGAATATATGTTAATCTAGTAAAAGCTGTTAGCACTGACACAGAGACAAGAATCAATAATAATTAGTCTACAGTTGTGTTAACATCAGATCAAGGAACTAGCCACTATTTTAACAAGCTGAATTATGTTTGGGGGCGACAAAGCATATATTAACTGGAGCATCAGTGTCACTGCACCACAGATGTGCACTAATAAAATCTCACATATTTATGCGTGTGAATCATGTGCAAGTGTCTTTTTATGCCACTACGAGGAGGGGAGAAGGGGTGTGGCAGGAAAAAAGCATATTTAATGTACTTTTCTGTTGGCCTTTCCATCTGTTTTTCCCACAATGCCCAGGGTTATAAATTTTTACCTGTATCAAGTAGACAGGGAGGTCTGGGTTCGATTCTCATTTCCAGCACCACGTCAAATCTAAAGATATTTAAGTAGGTAGGTCTTGAGTCATGGTAGGCGATGGCACTATACAGAACCCAGCACTGCTCAATGGCCCTGGGTAGCAAGTATAGGTCTAGATTTGAAGCCCTTCACTCCTATGGTGATGTTTCCCATGAGTGAAAAATTCTCACGGGAATGTAAAACAAGAATCAATCAATCAAGGCTTCATAAAAGGTCAAGGTCATTTTTAGAGGTTAAATGACAAGTAGGTATTTCAACCATATAGCAATTAACTACTGTTAGAGAAATTGTTTACAAACACATTCACAAAGAAGTATTTATTAGTTAACAATGGAAAAAGATCGGAATTCTGCTATAGTTAAGATTCAGAATCCTTAGATGTAGAAAGATGTGTAGAAAGATATTTCAGTTTTCTTTTTATGAAAATATCCAATGTTGTTTGTGTAGAAATTGTTAGAATCCTTGTGCCCAGAGAGGCATGCTGGATGCTGGATTTGTTTATCCCAGTTGATCTGGCTGTGAGAATAGGTGTGGCTGGTTTGCTGGTTAATAAAAATAACAGGCAATTATCTAGAAGAAAAATAAACAAGGCCTTCAATGCTGCAAGCAAGCCACAAAGTAATTTGGCAAGTTTTATGTATTTGGTGAGTGTATATGTTCTGATTTTACATGAAATGCTACATAGAAACACAAATCTATCCAAATTACATTTATTTGAATGAGCTAAAGATATGACTTTCAGTCATGAATTGAAATTTTATAAAATTTATATGTTGCTATTTGGATGATAGTCTTTAAAATTTTATTGTTTATTAAATAGTGTTACCTTTTGGCTTCACTCTCCTAGGTGACCCTAGGCATAATGTTATATAAACCTGCTAATAATGGCCAGGAGATATGCCATGTATAGTGTGGGCTTTACATACCCTGAATAGCCACTAAATAAGGTGTTCTTTATAAGCTATTTGATTTTATTTTATTTACAACTCTTTATTTTAATTCTTCAGGATGAACAAAACAGATTACACTTATTCACGGAGGTAAGTGGTATTTATACATGTATTATTGTAACAGCTAGTGTGTATACAGATACTTGAACCTCCCACTAATTGTTTCAAAAGAGATTTTAGGTCTCCAGTAAATATGTATTATAAACTCAAAATATGAGGGTTTAATCTTGTTTAATCATGTGTACTAAACACTGCTAAATCAAGATTCAGTTGCTCATGTGTAACATGCTGTAAGTATGATTTTTATGTGGAATTGTTCCATTTTCCTTATCGTTTGAAAGAAAGTGCAAAGTGATTGAAATAATGTTTTGATAAAGGAAATAAGTCATTTAGAATGGGAGTTAAATGGTTTTGAGCTTTTTTAATGCTGACAGATGTTTTGAAGTTTCATGTATGAAATGTTGTATGATTATGATGTGGGGGAAGAATATATTGCTTGACTGGAGATAGGAATTAATGTAAACTAGAGGTGTTTAGTCAGACAGGTAAATAACTCCATACATTCTATTCATGGCTCACTGATTACATGAATTATTCCAAGTTGGATGTTGTTTAATGTGCTTCACCGGTTTTAAGTTCTGACAAGATTAAGATGTCTGTGAAGTAAAATATGTACACTGCATGTTGATTGATATATATCATTTTACTTAAGTCCTAGTTATAGAAGAAAAGCAGAAAGTTCTTATTACCAAATCCCCAATATGTCTCGTGCACATGTGAAGGGGAAAGTAACTCCTTACACGAGCGGTGATTTATATGTCAGTTCAGATGAGGAGGACATTAATTATGTAATGGAAAAAAGACTGTCCACCAGAACTGGTAAGTATTTAATGGTTTGTATTTCACATATAGCTGTGTTTATACAGGGTTATACTTGGACATAATGTGTTCATCCAGTGTAAGCATTGTCAAATGGGTCATTTAGTATTTCCTGCTTACATGTTGATCTTACTATTTAAAGGAATTTTGTAAAGTTTATGAGTTATTTTTAGTGCAGTGTTTTGCCTGAAAGAATCAACTGGTAATAATGAACAATGTTGAATAACAAAAAAAGTAAAGTTTTTAATTTTTATAAATACTAAGATCAGATATTATCTACTGAGAGCATGTTTTTGTAAACTCTTTCAGCAGGTAAAAACTGTTTTAATCCCCCCCCCCCCCCACATTTACCTGAGCGGTACATTCTGCATGTAGTTATTAAAGAGCATAGAGTCATAGACTTGTCCTATGTGTTCTGTGCAACTGAAAAATGTAAAATATTTTTTAAAGTTTCAAATAAACAGTTAAAGCAATAGAATGAGGAAGATTAATTTAAAATAGCACTTGTTTGAAGATATGTATTTGGGTATAAATTTTAATTTATTTATGCAGAGTACAAGCTATGTTTATTACTTCACATAGAAACTTGTATTCTATTCTGTTATGTCATTTAATGAGTCAATGACTTCCATAAACAATAGCCTCTTTGATTTTTATTCTCCATGCTTGAAAGATAGCTACCCTCATAACTTAGGTTTCTATACTTTTAAAAGTCTTGAGAAAAATAGACATGAAGGAATTAACAATTGAATGGATTTTTAAATATGTCATTTTTGTTTCTCACAGTTTATGAGGATGGAATTCTACTTCGTTCAGGCAACAGTTTAAAAAATGCCAGGACTGTGATAGAGAGTCAAAATGTGAAGAACAGAAGATCACTGCAGGGCTTGAACATGAACAAGAATGCTAGGGAGTCTAGGAGATCACTACAGTCCCTGAACACGATGGACGATGTCCGGCAATCCAGGAGCACTACAAGGACATCACGATCACGGAGATCCCAGGCCTCCAATCTTGTCACCAGCACTAACCAGATGTCAGAGACAAGGTCATCCACAAGGTCATCATCAGCCTCTGTGTCATCTCTGACATCATCAAAGTCATCCTTCATAGACTCTGTCAGGAAAACTCTGATTGGAGAGTTTAATAATTTGGAAATGGAGAAAGGAATGAAAGAAATCCAGAACTCTAATAGAAAAATCAAGTTATATGGTAAAGTTTCATTTGGTCAGTTGAAATTGATTTCTTGTAAATCTAAATACAGTGCATACTTTAGTCTTTAACCAAAAAAAAAACAACAAAAAGAAAAAAATACTTAGGCACTGCTAAGCTTGAAAGTGTTCATTTATAGAGTTAATTTGTTTTATTCCAGGTTTGGATCAAGTAGACTCAGATGAAATGTCAGGTAAGGAAATTAGTACATTATATGCAGATTTAAATAATGCAATGCTTATACATGTACAATTGTTACAATTGTTTATTTTTTGAAAAACATTGTTCTATGGAAAGCACAGCATGTGCTACATGTACTCATACATGTGATATGCACCGGCGGTATGCAAAATGTACCGTTTTTTGGAGCCCATTCATCGTGTACCAGCGGGACACCAAAATTCATGGAATATGAAAATTTGTACAGTATTTTGAATTTCTCGCTTAATGCCGCCATTTTCCTCTCATTCTCGCTCGCGAGACACTGGGAAACGTCACCTGTTTTTGACATCGCGTGTGAAGGTGTGAACCTCCAATTGGGATAATTATCTTGCTATAAATCCGTATCAAGATACCCCTTTAGGTAGCTTTATTTTTAAAGGGGTACTTAATTATAGCTGTTAATGATTTGTAAACTGATTGAAAAAAAATTAAGCCAACTTCTAAAGTTACATGACTTAATAAACATGAATCTGACCTAGATCTCCGTAGGTATAAAGTATACGATGTTTTTTACCATGATTACGAAATAAAGGATATAGTTTTAAGTTTTTATGTGCTGAAATTTATGTATGATTTTATTTGCTGCTGTTATTTAGCATTGCTGATGTACATATCAGTAATATGAACAAGATGTAAATTGGAGACATTGACTACATAAAGCTGGCAAACAAACTATCATCTAAACTAGCTTAATTTGTAGTCGATTCATGAGAATATTGTGATTATAAAACACAATATATGAAATTTTAAAGCAATCAAATCTCCATTACAACTTTTAAAATAAGACATTTGCAACAATATATATTTGTTGGTTTAGAGATAAGGTGCCTTATCAAAAGAATTTAAGCGATAATTTATGCCGTTTTTTTGTACCGTTTTTTGATAGGCAGTGTACAGTTTTTTCCACCCAAATTCCAGTTTTTTTATGGCTCCTGTACAGTTTTGTGGTCTTTGACTTATCACTTGTACTTGTATGTTTAGTCTGATTTTTTGTTGTTGCAGGAATTGAATCTGAAGTAGAGTTTACTGGTATGTACTATACATTTCTTTTGGGGAGAAAAAATATGTACAGAGTTGTAAATTAGTGTTTGCTTTTTCACAGAAAGTTAAATATTTGCTTTTTGCAGTAGGTATGTTTGTTGAACATTTTGTTGATGATTGACATGCTACATTTTATTTTCCAGGGACCAACATGTCAGGTTACCACTCAAACTCTTCACATAGTAGGAGCCACACAAGGAACTCCCAGTCTGATACCACCACCAGCACCTCCACATCAGATTCCTCATCATCGGTGGTCACCACCGTCACCACCACTGTCGTCACCACAATCATTGGTAAGGTAAAACCTGGTATTGTGATGAGGAAAAAACATTGTAGGCATTATTGGCTAAAAGGTATTTGACATGATATATATTTACTGTAAGATTAACAGAATATTTAAAGCTTTATAACAGCAGTAAGCAATCATGGTTTTAAAAAAGCAACTTATATGGGAAATATCATTTTGCAGTAATGAAATACAGGTGAAAATTTATATTTAGATATGAAGTTATAATGGATAATCCAAGTTTGAAATATAGGAGATGGATAGTATTTGAAACAGGAATATTATTTCAACAGTATTACTGAAAAATCCTAACATTGCAGAAACCATTTCAACAGCAGCCAGGCCTGTCACTGAACCAGTCTGGAACAACATAGGAGAACCAGTCTGGAATCATGTAGGACGACCGGTGTGGAATCGTGTGGGGAAGCCGGTGTGGACATACGTGTGTCGACCACTCTGGTCACTGACCAGCAGGGTGTTATCCTCGGTCCTCCTATTGTTGTATCACCTCATCTGGACCTCCACTCTACAACACCTTGTTAATGGTTGTGCTTTTGCTACACGGAAAACCCTATCAGCTGCTCAATCTGTATTAGTACAATTGATTATCTGGGAAATACGATTTTTCTCAAGGTAATAATCTATCTGTCCTTTTTTTTTTTTTAACTGTTTTCATAAAACTGTAAAAGAATAAGTAGAAGTATAACACAGGTATATAGTTTGAATAATTTTAACCTGATTAATTATACACTTTTAGAATTATTTCTTTGTATTTGTAAATGAGCGTATATAAATCTTTGTTTTAAAGTTAAATGAAGGGTTTGAAATTCTGTCTGAGGAGCTATATATTGTAAGAATAAGTTTCTTATACATTACAGGATGTCCTATTTCTCCCGGATATGCTGTGTTGTCTTGCCACTGTTACTGATTTTACCATTGTTATTGTTTACAAGTAAGAATTTACAAGTAAAATTAGGCTAAATAAAATTGATATTACAGTTCTCAGGCCAATTTTCTTAAAAACAGATGCAGGTGGGAGGCTTTTTTTTATTTTTACCTTTTTATCAGCGATAAATAAGATGTGGAAAGCGTTTTTTTTCCCCAGAATTTAAAAAAAAAACAAAATTCTTCCTTCATAGATATACTGGAGTCATTCTTTGGATATAATTAACATCACACAAAATTACCAAATATATGCATTTTTTCATTTTTTATGAACACAGCTTCCATTTTGAATGGCTGTCATTGTCCACATTTACACAAAATTGCTAGCAGAAACGAAAATCGAGTGCAAAACTTATTAAAGAAATTAAGGCCGGGATTTTATTTCTTGGATTGGTCTCCACATTACCAACTTTTTATTTTATTGAAAATACGTTAAAAATTGCAATGCAGCTACCTAGAAACAGATGTGTGCAGGCCCGAGAACTGTAATTTCAATTTAATGTAGCCTTAGCAGCTCAAAAATTGCTACCTCAAAAAGTTCTTTTTCTCTTTGAAGTAATTGCTTAATAGATTTTATTGAAGTAATCTAAGTGTAGTTTTAGATATGTAAAACGATAAATATTCCACTCATAATAAGACCAACAATTAAAAAATGAATTGTTTGAGGTACCCTTGCTGACCCATTAAAATCGCCTCCACCCCATTCTTTTATACATATTGGCATAAAATACCCCTGTAAGCATATTTGCACCTAGTCAGGGATGGGTGCAAATCTGTTCACTCATGCAAAAGCAAATATTGTTTGCTATACAGTTCATTTATGGTGTATTTCTTGATCAAGAAAGCTTTTTCAGTAAGCCTTTTAGGGATTAAGAGATCAATCTCTTTCTTTTTTCTAAAATTCTCCAACCATTGTTCATTTATTTTACTAGAACATTATCTTGAACTAAATGCTTGATTGTGGGTTTTGTCTAATTTTATACTCAATGAAGCATCATATTGTAATCCTAATGCTTTATACCTATGAAAGAATTCTCCAGTAGTAGGCCATTTTTATGGCAATCATGATAAAAAATTGAGAAATTTATAGATAACATACGCATTTACTCACAGTTAATAAAATCAAAGGAGAACGCATGGTAAATTTACTTTTGCTCACAGGAGCAAAGAACAAGGTTCACTTAATGCCTTTTATGGCCCTGTGAATTTCTGAAAAATTAAAAGTGCTCAGTTTTAGTAGAAAAAAAAATTTAAATTTTGCTTGGATCCTTAGTGACTGCATATCTATAAAAAATGACGTAATTTTCTCACTAGTTCATATATTATGATGTCATGAATTGCGTCTTTATCTTTAAATCTTCAAATTTCTTCAAAAATTGCCAAAAATTTAAGCAGTTTTCTAATATTTGCATAGACCCCAAGCTCTGATCTAAAATGTTTAATTGTATAATGAAAGTATTGTTTCAGAAGACTATAATCCATGTTTTATTTTTTGGATCGTGGGGTGGGCTCATATTTTTGTTCTCTGTTGAAAGTGCTCAAATACACCAATTTTCTTCAAAATTCAATAACATTGCAATTTCACAAAGCCTGTCTTTCAATACCTGGCCCCGGGATCATGAAACATCTTAGGCTTTAGTCAAAATCTTTCAGTTGTATTAAAATGTTGTAGACATCAAGCAGACAAAAATTAAATTATTTTTCAATATTGCTTCACAAAAGTGTTGCTACCTGCAAATTTAGAGATTAGTTCAATAATTAATAAACATTTTACAGCTGATTGGATATTTGACTTAAATCTAAGACTGTTTCATGATCCTGGGGCCTGGACTCTCAGAGAAAACTTTTTTATAGGAAATGAAAGCACTAAGTCTCTACTTTATATTGATGTTTGAAATTGGACTTTTGGACTTGGTCAGTTGATTTGTATATTGACAGGGTCTTTTTATGGCTATAGTGAACCTTGCTCTTTGGTCTTGAGTAAATATACTCAGAGAAAATTTCTCAGAATATAGACACAGTTTTTACAGCAGTAAATATATAATTTTTCTGTCTGGTTAATAATTTATCTGTCTGGTTATAAAGAAAGCATCAATATTTTTTTAAGTTTGTGATTTTTATAATGTTTAGTAATGTGTTAGATAATTAATAATAGTATTAAAATACCGAACCTACATACCCACCTTCAAAAATGTGGGTCAGAGTACATCAAACAAAAAAAATTTAATGATGGCCTAACTCTGGAGTACCTCGTTTTGTATAGGTGATACAACTAAGCATTCACACAGTTCACCCCTTCATTTATTGTTGCGTGAATCCCGGATATTTGTTGCATATGAGTGACTGAAATTCTTTAATTGAATTTTTAGGATGGTAATTAGATGAACTAAATTACAACACAATGAATAACCATGGAAATTGCAATGAAATAAAGTTCAAGCTATAAAAATCTGTCCAAGGGTATGATGCATGTACAGTATATCCTCACATTGACAAAAAACTGCAATGATATGTGGAAAGGAACAACGAACTACAACATTAGGTCCCTTGTTAATTTCTTAGCTACTTGTACCCATAAATAGATGTAGTTTCCATGTAATTATGTAATTTTACATCTACAAATTTTACTGAAAATGTTTGATCAATAAATGTAGGCTATGGTCAGTTTTATGTCTACATTCTATGAGTAAATAGTTATCCTGGTATTTATTAAGGTTCTCATGCCTTATAACACAGTTACCATATCTTTCCAGTTTACCCTTACATCACACCGGCAGCTTTCATTGATATCAGGGATAATGATTCTGTACTGGATTTATCAAAGGTACGTCTTTCCTCTTTCCTTATTTTCTGTGAAACATTGTAAATATTGTTAAAGTAGAACATTACTGAAAATTACTTGCTAAGAAATGAACATGGTACAGACTAGTTTCTGCCCAATGAAAGATACTTTTATTTTAATTATTTTACAGAAAAACAAAAAAAAAAAAAAACCAGTTGTGATTATACTGTATTTTCACAATATGAATACGGTAACATAAAATTCACTGAAAATCACTATAAATGTCAAGGATGTCATCACATTTTGACTTCTATGAAGACTACAAATATGTATAAATTTATTTTTTTTTTAAAAATAAATTTATACACATGTTGAAGTTGAAGCTTCATATAGGAGGAGACAATGATTTTTTCATTTACAAATTGAAGAGAAAAAGTGTATTTTATCAGATGGAAAGATTAAGTCATCATGATCTAAGGGAACACGTGAGGAGGATAGTCATACAGATCAGTGAGGGACGAGAAGAATCTCTCTCTGTGGGGGAAGTAGAAAGAATTGTATCCACAATGGTGGAACAGAGATTGAATGAAGAAAAACTAGCCAATCAGAATCGCTGGCTAGAGGAGGAGGCAGCTAAACAGGAAGTGAGTGATACAACAGAAAGAAGCTGGTAGTATTTGTTTTAGTGTAGTGCATTTTCTAACTCACAGAAATGTAGTCAATTCATCATGCACTAGTTTTGTAATGCACTAGTTTGTAAATGCACTAAACAGCTTTTAGTAAAAGTAGCACTGTTTGTTATAATAAGTCTAACATTTTACACAGCTTAGAGATGCATTAAGTAGTATACAAAGTCAAAAAGCAGACAAAGTCAGAGACACAGAGGACACACCTACAGCAAATATGAAGACAGAGGATGCATCTAAGCCAAGCTTGAACACAGAAGGAAAGGGTAAGCCAAACATTGACAAAGGGGAAAAATATAGCCCAAGCATTGACACAGAGGAAAAAAATAAACCAAGCACTGATACAGAGGAAGCATATGAACAAAGCAATGACACAGAGGAAGCATATGAACAAAGCAGTGACACAGAGGAAGCATATGAACAAAGCAGTGACACAGAGGAAGCATATGAACAAAGCAGTGACACAGAGGAAGCATATGAACCAAGCATGGACACAAAGGAAGCATATGAACCAATCATGGACACAGAGGAAATATATAAAACAAGCATTGACACAGAGGAAAAAAATAAATCAAGCACTGACAGAGAGGAAGATTATAAACCAAACATTGACACAAAGGAAAAATATAAACCAAGTATTGACACAGAGAAAGCATATAAAGCAAGCATTGACACAGAGGAAGCAAGCATTCCCAAAGAAGAAAAATGTAAGCCAGGCATTGACTTACAGGAAAAACATAAACCAGGTGTTGACCAACAGAAAAAATGTAAACCAAAAATTGACACAGAAGATAACTATATTCAAAGCATTGATGCAGATACAAAAAAGTTTAGACCAGATGTAGAACCAGTGGAAAAGCCCAAAACAAGTGTGGACATGGAAATAAAATGTAAAGGAAGTGGAATAGCAGATGAAAAACCAACTGCAGGCAATGAGGAAAAAATTGAAGAAAGTGGAGGTGTGAAAGAAAAACCCAAACCAATTGTGGACACTGAAGGAAAATATGAAGAAAGTGGAAAAGTGGAAGAATACCCCAAACCAAGTGTGGATACTGAAGGAAAATATGTAAAAATTGGAGAAAAGGAAGAAAAACCCATACCAAGTTTGGACACAGTAGAAAAATGTATAGAAAATGGAGAAGAGGAAGAAAAATTCAAACAAAATGTGGAAACTGTAGGAAAATGGGGGAAAAGTGAAATGATGGAAGAAAACCCCAAACCTAGGGTAGACACTGAAGAAAAATTTACAGAAAGTGGAGAAGTGGAAGAAAACCAAAAAGGAAATGTGGACACTGAAGGAAAATGTGAAAAATATGAAAAGGTGGAAGAAAACCCCAAACCAAGTGTAGACACTGAAGGAAAATGTGAAAGAAGTAGAGAAGAGGAAGAAAAACCAAAGCTAAAAGTGGAAGTTGAAGGAAAATGTGAAGGAAATGAAGAAAAAAACCCTAAACCAAGTGTGGACACTGAAGAAAAATCTGAAGAAAGTGAAGAAAGAGAAAAACCCCAAACAAGTGTGGACACTGAAGGAAAATATGAGGAAAGTGAAGAAGAGAAGCCCAGAACAAATGAGGACACCGGAGGAAAATATGAAGAAGAAGAAAAACCCCAAACAAATGTGGACACTGAAGGAAAATGTGAAGAAAGTAAAGAAAGAGAAACACCTAAAACAAGTGTGGACATTGAAGGAAAATGTGAAGAAGGAGAAAAACCCCAAACAAATGTGGACACTGAAGGAAAATGTGAAGAAAGTAAAGAAAGAGAAACACCTAAAACAAGTGTGGACATTGAAGGAAAATGTGAAGAAGGAGAAAAACCCCAAACAAGTGTCAACACTGAAGGAAAATGTGAAGAAGAAGAAAAACCCAAAACAAACGTCGACACTGAAGGAAAATGTGAAGAAGGAGAAAAACCCCAAACAAGTGTGGACACTGAAGGAAAATATGAAGAAGGAGAAAAGCCCCAAACAAGTGTGGACACTGAAGGAAAATGTGAAGAAGAAGAAAAACCCCAAACAAATGTGGACACTAAAGGAAAATATGAAGAAGAAGAAAAACCCCAAACAAGTGTGGACACTAAAGGAAAATATGAAGAAGAAGAAAAACCCCAAACAAATGTGGACACTAAAGGAAAATATGAAGAAGAAGAAAAACCCCAAACAAGTGTGGACACTGAAGGAAAATGTGGAGAAGAAGAAGAAAACCCCCAAACAAATGTGGACACTAAAGGAAAATATGAAGAAGAAGAAAAACCCCAAACAAGTGTGGACACTGAAGGAAAATATGAAGAAGAAGAAAAACCCCAAACAAATGTGGACACTGAAGGAAAATGTGGAGAAGAAAGAAAAGAAAAGGAAGAAAAACATAAAACGAGTTTGAGCACTGAAGGAAAATGTGGAACAAATGTAGAAGAGGTAGGAAAAACAAATGTGAACACTAAAGGAAAATATGGAGAATGTCGAGGAGAGGAAGAAACATCTAAATCAAGTGTGAGCTCTAAAGGAAAATATGAAGAAGGTGGAGAGGCAGATGAAAATCTCAAAGCAGGTATTAATTCATCAGAAAAATGTCGATCAAATGTTGATAAAATAATCACAGAAAGTACTGACTCAGAACAAATATCTAGTGCGGAATTCAACTCAGAGGAAGATTTTGATATGTGTGAGGAATTTTTTGATGAAGATCAGTCAGGTGATGCTGCTATGTTCTGTGATGTTCCAGCTGAAGATGATCTGGGAATATGTACAACAGAGCAGGAGTTAGGGCACATCAGGCATGAACTTCACAACAAAGAGGAAATGTCATCTAAATGTAAGATGGAAGCTTCTAACTCTGCCAATGCTGCTTGTTATTCACCTAACCCATTTGTTGGCAGAAATATCTACAAAGAAATTCTTCTAAACCTTCATAGGAAGTGTAGATATATTCCACTGTCAGGGATGAAAACAGAAATAGATAAATCTTCTGGAAATAAAAAGTGTAAAACAAGACCTCTGTGGATAGAGAAAAACAGAACTCAAGAATTTGTATGTAGTCAAGCCTGCATGAAGTTTGACTTCCTTTTTTTCAGTTTCGATTTTGAATTGGAAGTTGATGTTACTTTTTCAAAACATGTTATCGTTGTTGCTGAAATTTATGTGTTTAGTTAGTATGTTCATGTTTCCAGTCTTGTTCCTAGATTGTGATCTAACTTTCTGTTGCAGTTTGTTTAATGTTCATTCCAAATAATTTATTTGAATTAAAGTTATGGAAATGTATCTCTGATAATATAGTGTATTAGTGTAATATATGATAAGATAGTATAATATTATCAATGTTCATTTAATGAATTATATAACTTTATAATATTTTCTAATGGCTTTGTATGACAGGTAGAGAAAACAAACATCACAGAGGAGATATTGAGGGTCCTCCAGCACCTCAATGTGAGGAGGGATAGCCTTACTGAGGGGGACATAAGGGCTATTGTTGGGGAGATGGTCAAGCATGAAGTCACAGGGCTACAGGATCGCATTACAGAGCAGGCAAAATCACAGGTAAGTCATTCAGGCTTATTGGTACCATATACAAATAGGTAGCTGTCACTGAGAGGGTTAAATTAAAAGTCAGTCATATAGGCTTGCTTGGAGCACATTTTAAAAATCAGATGTGTTTTACTGAATGGACAAATTCATGTTACTTATTTTGGATTAATTGAAGCATATACAAACAGGTATGTTTACTGTGTTTGTTAATCACATCAGACTTAAGGACGTGATGGGAAATACAGGATCAAAAACATATACAGTCAAATTTTGTTATCTCAAACTCAACGGGACCAAGATTAATTTAAGATATCCAAGGATTCAACATAACAAGAGTGAAAAACATAAAGATAAATTTCAACTTTACTTTAAAAATAACAGCGAATTATAAAATATATAGGATTGTTTTGACATTTAAAAGGTGATGGAGAAGACAGAGAATGGTGAAGTGATGCTGGCTCTTCAGAATGATCTGAAAATAAGTATCACTGTAAGTCCAGTTTTGTTTAATCTTATCATTTTGCTGTGAATTTTTTTATTATTATTATTACTTTTTTTTGCAATTGAACATTTACAATAGGGAAGACTTAAGATAGAATCAACTTTTTAAAATTTTGATTTGCAGTAAATTTGTGAGGAAAAATAAATACCATTTAAGTTAGTTGTTAAGTACTTTTGTATTAAAGATACAAATTCCATTTCAGAATCTTGAGCAAAAATTGGCAGATGAACTTGAGAGAATAAAAAGGTTTGAATTTTGCTTATTGTAAAATGTTGGATTTTTCCATGGTACGTGAAAGTTAGATGAGCAGCGTTTTTTTTGTTTTTCAATTTTAGTCCTTCAATGGAAGGTAGTGATTCCACAGTGGAAGCCTCAGCTAGCCTTCTACAGATACAAGACGATTTGTCCTCAGTGCGAGCTCGACTAGAAAGCCTAGAACTGGAGAAAGCTTGGTTAGCAGGACAGCTCAAAAACTGCTGTAGGAATGAGAGTTTCTACATGGCTTTGGTGCAGGACAAGGTCAACTTAATTCTGGGTCAGGTAGGAATTATCTTGACTTTATCCTGAGTATTACAAAGGGAACATTTACTAACAAGAAGCATTACATTATGACAACTGTTTGAAATATGGTATAGCTGATGACGGGTTTAATTGTTTTAAAGATAGTGCAGAAGTTTCATTATTCTGTAAATTTCTTTTTCCTTCATGAAAATTTATTATGCTGTGATGTTTGGGTCCTTAAAGTTGCTTGTTTTAAATTTACAGAGATGAATTTCAGTATTTGCATTATAATCCTATTGCTCATCTAATATCTAATCTTTTTGTTATACAGATAATGTCAGGGAATGATACTGGCAGTGCCGACCAGTACACGTTTGGAGCTTGGTTAAACTCGACATTTATCAAGAAAAGCGACTTAGAGAAATACATGGCAGATTTTGGTGATGAGCTCAGCAATAAAATTCTACAGGAAATGTCAAGGACGGAAGCCACCGAGGTCTATGTATCAGAATCAGGGGGGCAGAGTGTGGTGACAGAAAAGGTAGAGGGACTGATTGAATGGTCAGGAATATCATATCTCTCTTTTTAGAGTCATCAGGTGACCTATTGCTGTCTGTTCATTCCTTCCATTCCTGTCATCATGTATAGTGTCAACTTTTCAAATTTTTCACTTTCTTATCTGAAACTGCTGTCAGAATTAAAAATTATGAAATTCATGGTTGCTTCTCCATGTGGCCTGAGGAAATGGGGCAAACTCTATCAAAATCAATGGAGTTTTTAAGAAAATTTCTATACTCTTGGACATCATGCATGCTATTAAATGTTTGCATAATTTATATGATTATAAAATGTTATCTTTTACTGAAGCTGTCATGACCATTACCTGTTGATCTTGAGTTCAGGTCCCAAGATGCTAAAATAAGCCAAAATTAGCACCTTGCTAAAATAATGTGCTATACGATATGTAGTAATCCCTGGCTATTGCCACCATTGCACTGCCACCGTCACTGTTGCCAAAATATTCCAATGATGTTGACCTGCTTAACCTCATAAACAATCAATAATAATAAGTATTTTATAAGGTAACCGTAATTAATAATTTATTGAATGTTAATTACAGTAAACATCAGTTGATTCTGCAGTCACCTGCCAAACAGCACTTATGGTTATAATGTCACCCTTATTATAATGCCAATAAGCCAAAGTACAAATGTTGGCAGTATAACACTTGAACACTGACTTTCTGAAAGAACACTGTTCCTTAAAACTTTTTACTTGAATTGTGACTTCCTCTCTTAATACTAAAGATATAATGTTTTGTTATATACAGGTTGTGAGACAGATAGTGACTGAAGCTTTGGAGAAGTTCAGTGCAGACAAAATAGCCCTGCCTGATTTTGCTTTAGAATCTGCAGGTCTGTACTGATCTACTAAATAAATACCACCATAGTTTGTCCTTTGATATTTGTTATAGAACTAAAGTGTGATACATTTTCAAATGTTTTACATATAAATATTGACAAACTTTGGGCCATTAACAGTCACTGGTGTCTTATAGGTGGAAGTATTATCAGTACAAAGTGTTCTGAGACATTCCACAAAAACACGGCTCGTCTGAGTATCCTGGGGATTCCCTTGTGGTATGTCTCCAACTCACCTCGCAGTGTCATACAGGTAAGTGGTCAGTTACGAATACAGACATCTTCTTCTGTATTTGAAGCAGATAGAATATGTGGAATTATTTTAATCTATGGGGGACAATGTTCATGCCTTCCTGGGTGACCATATACTGGTTCTTGGGGATGTAATTTTGTGGGTAACTCATGTAATGAAGATTCAATAAATTCAATAAACCAATATGTTGATGTTATTATTTGTGGGGATAAGGGTTGCCAACGAAATCCATCAACATTTCAGCTCATCATTTAATTAACTGTTGCTGACTTGATCATTGTTTGATATATGTCACTGAACTCAAAACAAGCAAACTGACAATTAACCCTTATGATAAACATGATGGCTTCAAGTTTTCTATCATTATCTTCCCTTACATATGTAACAGTATACCATTGTCACCTGGACATGGAGTTTATGTCTCCTAGTTGATTCGATACATGTTCTAAGAATGAGCAATTTCTACAATGAGGCAGTTTATTGACAATTGATGATCTCAGGGATATCAACAATCTTGTTTAAAAGTCAACATTTCACAAATTTGATGCAATGACTTTATTTGCAAGTACAATCTGTCATTAGGTTGAATGTTGAACTTGCATCTTTCTTACAAATTGTTTTGAGATAAGTTTCACACTGAAATGTCTATGGATTTTCCATTTACCCAATCCTGACAAAGAGCAGACGGTGGGTGTGACTGGTCCGCAGGGGATGCTTACTCCTCCATGGCACCTGATCCCATCTCTGTTTTCAAAGGTCTATGTTGGCTCTGCTTGGAAATTGTATTGTTTATATGGGCTTTTGAGAATGATCACTTTAGTTAACTTCAGATTTAATTGCCAACTGTGAGAAATTCAAAAGAAGAGGACAATCATTAATTCTGTCTTCAACAATAATTTAGTAATTTTGATGTACCGTCAGAGCTTTTTTATGAAGAGTAAGTCACAGAATGACTGCATTTAAATTTAGATAATATTTTGACTATCTCTTATTTATGTGTTTATATACTATTGGGAAGAATTTATAACTAACTTATATAGAACATGTTCTACATTCTGCCATGTTTTCGATTTGTATAGAACATGTTCTACATTCTGTCATGTTTTTGATTTGTATAGAATATGTTCTACATCAGCTATGTCATTAATGATCTTATAACTGTTTACAGCCAGAGACACAGCCTGGGTCCTGTTGGGCATTTCAGGGTGATAAGGGTCACCTTGTAATTGAGCTATCAGACAACATCACCCCCACAGCCTTCACCTTGGAGCACATCCCCAAGTCCCTGGCTCCTGAAGGAAAAATTGATAGTGCCCCCAAAGACTTTACAGTCATAGTAAGAAACCAGGATATATTATCTTTCTGTAGACTGAAAACAAGTAGAAGAGTTTTGTAGAAATCAAAACAAGAAATTAGAGAATTTATTTCAATATCAATGCTACTTACAGAAGGATTGCTGATAAACATGAATGAATGCGTGAACATTTTGTAATTCTGAAGGCAGGCAGTAGCTGCAG